GGGCTAACCCAAGAGGCTTATACCTGGGGAGGCTCACCCACACTGGGCCTGCAAATGCCTGCTGGAGAATGTAGGCCTGCCCCAGGAGAGATTTTGCTGAGATTGTAGCTAATCTCACTCAGCACCTAGCTACACTGAAATGGCCACTGACAGTGCTGGGTGCAGTGGGAAATGGAATGACGAAATGGCCCTACCTGCCAGGAGTTTGTGCTCTAGTGGAGGAGATAAGCTAAAGAGAAGAAAGCACTGTCCATACGCCAAGATGGAGCTCTGTGTTCCTGGTGGCTATAGGTGGGAAAAGAGCAGATACTTGGGAAGTACAATGAATTGCCCAGAAAAACTGCAACTTGGCACTTCTTGTGAATGTAAATATAAAACTAAATTCAATTGGTCCCTCCTCCACCCCACCCCATTCAGGCTCTGGTTTTGGGAAGAAAAGCAAAGATGTGTCCACAGAGCGGGACTTCTTCATGAGGATGAAGTGCACAGTCACCAACAGAGGCCGAACTGTCAACCTCAAGTCGGCCACCTGGAAGGTAGGACAGCATCAGACCTGGGTTGGAGTCCTGGGTGGGTAAGTGAGTGAAGCACTGCCCTCCACCCCGAGCACTCTCAGCCTCACACCTACCCCTCCATTGATTGCTGGTCTCCAGGTCTTGCACTGTACTGGCCAGGTGAAGGTGTACAACGACTGCCCTCCTCACAGTAGTCTCTGTGGCTACAAGGAGCCCCTGCTCTCCTGCCTCATTATTATGTGTGAGCCCATCCAGCACCCATCCCACATGGACATCCCCTTGGACAGCAAGACCTTTCTGAGTCGCCACAGTATGGACATGAAGTTCACCTACTGCGATGACAGGTAGGGGCCCAAGAATGTATGTGCTGTGAGCAGTGTGGGTCTCACATATGTGCGGATGAGTCTTTGAGAGAGGTAGGGACTAGGAATAAATGTACTGCTGCACAAGTCTGCAGGTGTGTGTCCTGTTTCCTTCATCAGCACCCCTCAGAGGTCCTCAACACCATATGCAATGGCCTCCCATTAACACAATACTGAGGCATCTGCAGAGCTGGTCTGGTGTGCAACTGTTGCCGTCACTGCTGCGTGTCTATATTTTTCAGTGTGTCAGACTTCTCCTACAGGGATGAGGGCTTAGAGAGCATTCCCTGAATCAGAGGCCAGACAGGAACTTCAGGCTCTGACCTGGACACTGAGCCATAGCTGATTGACTTCCCCTGGCTCTTCTCCATGACACTAGCTTTTCCCTCAGCCTCTGCACCTTCTGCATGCAGCTCCATTCTGGTCATTGTTTAGACTCGTTCTGAGGCTTTTAGATGAGGGAGCTGATCAAACTCTATCTCCAATGCCAGGCTCACTGGAAGTCTTCCTATGGCATGTAGTAGTGGCTAAGAGTGTAGGGCCTGGTGACAGATGGCCTAGGTTCAAATTAGTAGTCAATGTGCTGTGTTAGCTCTTAGTCTCACCTTCGCTGAGTTGAAGAAGCACCTAAGACTGCGTATTTAAACTACATTATCTCTAGTTATCAGCTCACATTGAGGACTGAATCAGTAAGGAACAGTCTGGAGCTGTCATAGGAAAAGTGTTTGTACCACACCCTGGTTCCTAACTCCCCCACATACTCTGCCTCTGGGAAGGGGGTGCCTGGTGGCCAGGAGGTGGGAGGAGGAAGATAGGGAAAAACAGGTGTGATGAGCACTGGTCGGCCTCAGGGAATGGGAAGGAAACACCAGAAGGGATCAGGTCTATAGCAGGCCTAGCTCAATTAAATGGCACCAAGGCTTGGTGATAGCTGTATGAAGAACTAGCTGTGTCCCTTAGGGCCAGGCTCTCCCTACCTGACCTCAGCTGTCTGAGGTCTGCAGTATCTAGAGTTGTGTTTTTTTCCGGAGTCAAAAATATTGTGGCAGCTCTTTACCACCCCCAATTTTTTGCCACTTCCCGCTCCTCTTCCAGGCTTCTCCTGGGGAAACCCAACATCTCCGTGCTCTTTCCTCTAATAGGGAGATAAAACTTTCTTGCACAGGGTCATCATAAAATGAGATCATGGCTAAGAAAACACTTTGAAAAGTACAAACACTAGAGCATACATGAGCCTTCTTGTTATTGCTTATATCTTACTTCCTGTCCTTGACCTTCCTCAAAGCAAAATCGCGCCACTACATGTAAGGAACGAGATCACTTCTGAAGGCATTTATTGACTAGAACCTAGAAGGGGAGGGAGAGACCACCAGCAAGTAACTACCGTGTTTTCTCCAGCCTGTAGAAAACCAGAAAGCCACAGGAAGACTGCCCAGATTCCCCTAAGCTCACTCACCCTTCCCCCATCAGCTGGACACCCCATGGCTATCTGGTTTCTCCATGGATGGGACCCTACCTTGAAGGCTAGACTGTTTCTTTCCTCTGATTCTAGACTGACGTGGTATTGGTTAGTGGCCCCTTCTTCGAATTGGCTACCACTGAGACCAGCAGATGGCATAGTGGTTATGTCACTGGAGTCCCAGACCCAGTGTCTTGAAATTCACACAAGGCACATGTATGTGCATGCTCAAGATCCCAGGAAGAGAATGGAAGAGAAGGGATTGTGGTGTGGCCATTCCCCCAAGGGACAATTTCTTACTTTTCCTCTCACTGTCTCTCTCCCCTACAAGTGCACATGCCCTAAGGCCAAAACTTCTTTAAAAAAAAAAAAAAAGGAAAGAAAGAATTGGTCACCACTTGTGGCACAGTTTCAGAACTTCTGTAAGCATATTCTTGACTCATTCCTGTCCCTGACTTCATAGGGAGAAAATGTCATGTATGAAGCCTTTTGTCCTGGAACTTTGACATAGCCAGCATTTATTGTAGTTGTTAGTTTTGTGGTTGTGATGATGATCATTAAAGAGAAAGATTGTTCCAAAGACAGGTACCAGAGGAATTTGTGTTATAGGTGAGGTTACTTCTCAGAGAAAGTCTTTATTTTTAAAGGAACTTTCTGGGAAGAAGACACAGTTTTGTTACATTCACCTCTCTGACTAGTCTTCTGAGGTAACACGGGAAATTCCAATGCCTAGGCCACTGGTCACTGGCTTTGAGAAGAGGCAATGCTCAGCATGCCTTAGCCACACAGCCTGTGGCTGACAAGGGCACGTCTATGGTGGGTCTCTGTAGCACTGGAAAAACCCTATTGTCCTAGAAATAACTTGCCCTCCCTGGATAATAGAAAAGAAGGTAGTGTTCTGTTTTGTTTTGCTTTGTTTTGTTTGCTTGTTTATTTAAAGCTTAAGACTTTGATCCTTATTGAAGTGAGAATAAAAAAAAAATCTCCTGGAAAGGGTAATTCATGATCCTTTATTCATCATCTGGGTTCAAATGAGTTTCAGGTAATATTCTGAAAGTGTGAAACTTGGAAAAAGGAAGAAGAGGCAGGGAACTCAAGGAATTGAATGCTTAAGAGTGGTGGAAGAGGAAATGTACACAGAAGGGGAGAAACACTGTTCTGACTTCCTAGTCTGGTCTAGGACTGGTAGGCAGAGTAGATATTGGTTTAAAGGAACCTGTGATTTCAGGCTTTGTGACTCATAGTAGGAGGGTGATAATACTTGTAAATTCTGCTGGACACACTGCATTTTCAGCAAAATCTTGCCTTTCAAGACACATAATTATATGACTCCAGTTCTGAGATCAGTGGTGCTGGAGAGGTGGGTATATGGCTTTTAAAGACATAGAGTGCCGTGCACACCGAAGTTGTGTCTAACCGATTAGCAGATTAGTTAACAAGGACACAGACATGGCTTAGTGTATGAAGCGACTATTTTAAGTCCTTAATCCCTAAGTGTTATTTCTCCATTGCTTTGATGAGGACTGGAACTTGTTTTGTTTTGTTTTCATTCTTTCTATTAGGATGGGGAGGTGCACTTGTGTGCATATGCACACACACACACACACACACACACACACACATACATATGCTTCTTAATATGCTTCTGAGAAAAAATGCTTCAAAAACCAACAGCTACATGTGATAGGTAGCAGGAGGGCAGAGCTCTTCATTTTAATCAGGAAATTCACTAAGTTTATTGACCATTGACACACATGAGGGGTTATAATATTCCACAAAGAGGATTGTTTTCTCATAGGAAAATTAGGAAATGTAAGGCAATTCAAATCTGCAAAAATCACTTTTGAGGACATCGGTACTTCTCCTGGATGTATGGAGGCCACAGATGTAATTAGACAAACCAATCAAACAAAAACAAACAACAAATCAAAAGAGTCATGAAAAAAAAGAGAACGGAGATGAAAGTTGGGAAAGAAATAGAGAAAAGATTCTAATCCTGTGTTTAACTCCAGTCTTCTAAAATCAGTTGAATTAGAGACAACTTATTCTGAAGCACCTGTAATTGAATGAAGGAATGCAGATGGTTCAAAATGCATTTATCAGAAGACCATATTAAGTCTCGTATTGATTATTCAAAACATTTTAAAAAGTGAATTCTGTAACAATTTATATGCCAGTCACATTTATGTATTGAATATATGTGGTCCATTATTGTATTCATAGACAGTCATGGCAGTAAAGTTGACTAGCAAGACTAAAGAAGAATGTCTTCCTGATTATCAGCGCAATTAATGATGGTGTGTCTATTTATGACACACAGGCGTTATACTGTCTCCTAAAATATGAACAACCAGTTCATGAACGGCTATTTATTGAGCCTCTGCTATATATCTAACCTTGTATATATCTGCCAGAGCCTGTGATATCAAAGAAGAAAAGGAGATGATTCCTGATCTGAACAGTTTAGCTTGAGATGAAAGCAACTTAATGACACCACAGTGGATGACACAAGACGGAACATTCTATTCACCCAGAAGGAAGACAACAGTTGTTACCAAGTCATTTAACTTTGAAATGAAGTGGTTCTTAAACTCACATGAAGGTGCCATCTAGTGGTGAAAGAAAATAACTGTAAAGGAAGCCAAGCCCTCAAGGAGACAGAGGCAAAGTCTTCCTAATTCACATGTGATCCCACTGGGATTTTGTCAGTTTTATGAGTCTTCCTGTATCTTAGAAATAAATTATATAGGTTAAGTATGTAGGGAGAACCAGTATCAAAATTACATAAAAAATTCTAATTAACAAAGAGAGTCACGTATAGTTTGAGGGCAACCCTGTTTGGTGATTGGATTAAGGCAATAGACTGTGTAATGGTATCAGGAGTAGCAGCTTAATAAATTAAGATGCATGTATTCAAAATTCTGTGGATAAACACTTACCATGAATTCCTTTTATACAAATAAGTTGGGAATAATAAAGATGGGAAAGAGAGGGGAAAAGGTGAGAATTCTAAAGAGAATGCCAGTAAAAAAAATAAAGAGCAATGAGTTGTATAAGAAGACACACATCAAAACACCCAGAAGACGTTTTGAAACCTGAGAAGAACTTAAAATCTGACTCACTTCAGTCATCAGATTGTATGCTTTCATTGCATACTGAGATACTTAATACATTATTTTTTATTTTATTACTTTTTTATAATAAAAACTTTACCTTTAAAAAAATTTTAGAGGGTGGATGTCATCTTAAATTCAAGGTGATATTTCAGATTGATACATTACTTGCATTTTAATTTCTAAATATTTTTACAGATATGCACATTAGCCTTTCTCTGCATACCTTAAGTAAGAGAGTATAGTGTGTTTCTTTAGATCCCTGAGTTAAAAGAAATCTTAAATATTTTCCTTGTGCATTTCCTCAGCTGACAATGTTCTGAGACTGACCCTAGCAGAGTTCAATTATGTAAGAAATGCTTTTATCTTCTTCTGTCTAATCTCATCTGCTCAAAATACTCCCTCGAAGAGGTGCTCTACAAACTCTCTTTGGAATTTATTCCAAAGTTTAATAGATCTTGAAATCCAAAATTATTTCTTCTACATGATCTGTTTCTATCTTCCTACAACTGAAGGCAAATTTCCTCTTACTACTGTGGGTTTCAGGGTACTGAGAGGTCCTCAGAGCAGGTTCAATCTGGGTTTGAGCCCGGGCTGACTTCCTATGTACATATTCACTCTACAGGTACCCCATAACACACTACACTGGCAGGATGGAAATTGATTGTGAACTACAGAGCTGACTGCATAGATTTCCTATAACCATGTGATATTTGAGGAAAACACAATGCTTCAGGGGCCGGTCTATTACCTAATTGTTAAAGTATCCAGATTCCACATAGTCAACCAAGGTTTGAATTCCAGCCCCAGTGACTTGAAAAACATTCCCGACACTTGTGCATGTGTGCTCCAAATCCCAACAGGATAGAGAAATGGAGGGAAAGGGATTGTAGCATGACCACACCCATGGGGGGAGGGTGCTTTCTCTCCCAACCCGCTTGCCTGCCTGCCTTTCTGTCTCTGTCTCTCTCCCTATCTCTGCAGGCACTGTCTCTCTGTCTCTCTCTGGAAAGTGCACATGCCCTCTGGCAATTAAACACACACACATACACACATGCAGCTTCAAGACTGTTGTTTAAGTGAACACAATCTGGAGAAAATGCAGTAAAAATAACAAAGAATTGAAATCAGAGTTAGTGAATAGTCTAGATTTTATTAAAGAAAGACATCCTCAAGGCTTATAAACATGTTTAGAAACCTCAAATGAGGTGAATTGGGGGTAGCCTAGGAAAAGCCATGGTTGGAAGGGTAAAGGAAAGAGAAAAGACTTTAAGTATTTATTAGCAAATGCATTCTTTGGAAAACAAAAGATGGTTACAAAAACTTTTATCCTCTTAAATAGTTTAAATGCTCTTCAGCCATCTTGTTTACATGATTAGTGTACTTGGCAAATCCTTTACTTGGGTAGGGAAGGGGTAAAAGCTGCAGCCAGACCTCATTTGACTCCAAATGGTGGTATCTGAAGTGGAGGAGCTAGACTGCCTCCTTCCACTAGGACAGGGCTTGGTAGGTACCTGCAGGTGAGCTCCGTGGGCCTGTGGCTGGAGTTCTGCTTCTTAAAGTGACAGCAGTGACACTGTAGCCCAGAGAATCAGTTTCTTCCTAGCTGCCAGGGTTATGGGTAGTCCATTTTGAGCATTCGTAAGAGTAAAGAGCAATGAATCGCTCGTCATACACTTTGAAAGACTCTGTCACTCTGAAGCCTAAGCTTGGAGTAACTAAAATTTACCAACACTTTTTTCTCTGTATTTTCTCTTTTTCCTCTACTTCATGGCTGCCTGCTTTTGTCTACATCTCTCCACTCTTCCCTGAGTCTGCTGCATTTTTTTTACTTTATGATTAAAGAAATATGTGTTTCTTGTTGGAAATCTGACGAATTAAGTTATGTTACATCTTTCTCAAGATAGAACAGTCCTGCTGAGTTGACTTCTCAATTTCTGGGTGACCCCAGGCTGATATTTTTTTTCTCCAGTGAGTCGGGGCCCTTAATTAGAAAGGAGAAAGAGTTCCCCTGCCCTAGCAGAGAAGGCAGATGAGACTGTTATCATAGCCTGGCTTGGGGGGCGGGGCTGGTCTGAGCCTGGGGAATGAGCAGGGAAGGCCCTTTGGGCTGCAGTCACTGACCCTATAAACAAACTGGGTTCGTTCACCTCCCTGCGGCGTCTACGTGCCTGCAGATGAGGGCGAATGACCATTAACTTTAAGTTGGGGTTTCCTGGCTTTGTGAAGTCTGACAACTCAAACGTTCTTCAATTGTGTTTGGGGTATGTGTATTTCCCAGTTTTTATAGCAGTCTGTTTAAAAGACTGAAGAAAGAGACATTAAATATTTATTTTAGTTGACAAGATAAATGAAAGCTGCTACTGGGAAGATAGCTGGCCATTCCGAAATCTAGGTTTGTTTGTCCACTTCCAAAACATGCCCATTGTGTGCCTTTGAATGGATGATACATTAATTAGATTTTTAAAAAACATTTTATTATGAGCCGATTATAATAAATATTTTCTTTGAACATTTTAATTTAAAGATTCTAATCTTGAAAGGATATTTAATTCCTATAAGGGGTAAAAATCATATCTTTCCCAGAATGCATGTTGACTCATTTGGAGGGTCTCTAGGAAATTCTAGACCTTCCCAGGAACAGAGGCAGTTTATCTGCAAATCAGTGAACCTGTAAATGGCCAGCCAGTTGTCACCAGGGCTTACCAGTACAGTTGTGATTCTTAGGCCAAGCCTGAAATGCATTTGACTTGACAGAACTATTTGGTTATAAGGCCAACTCTTTCGTCTCCTTGTTGTCCATGGTCTCCACCTCAGCTAAGGCACCAGCCCTAGGGTCAGGCTGCCAGGAAATCTGTCCATTGCTAATTACGTACAGAGACCTCTCTGCTCAGGGCCAAGTGAGGGGACAAATCCTGCCCTGAGACCGGCTTGCTGGCACATGTGAGCTGCTAAAATCTCACTGGAGAAATCTCCACTGGGCTGAATCAGCTGAGAACTAAGCCTCTCAGTCCTGTTGAGCTGCCCCTTATTTGACAAAGGCTTTAACCCTCAAAGCCTTACTCAGGCAGAGAACTCACCTCTTCTCTGGCCACTTCAAAAGCAGACACAGAATGAAGAAAGAGTGAACTGATTCTCATGGCTGGGTCCACTGGAGGCTGTATGAGAGAGAGAGGGAGAAACTATGTATGTCTAAGTGACACACTAGTTTTCACTGAGACAGTTAATCATGCTCTAGAAAGAAAAGTAGATTGTTAGCACCCAGGTTCCTTAGCAGTGCTGGAATGGACAGGGCTCTGGTGGTAATTTAGGTTCAAAGATAAATTAATCTACTGATCAGCTGCTCAAGTATTTACTAAGCACCCACCAAGAAGACATTGTACCAAAGTAGAAGATTGGCCCTTAGGACAGGAGTTGACAGCCTAAGATGTGAAAGAACAAATGCAAACTTCTCTGTGATATTGTGCACACCCCTTAGGACTTCATAAGGAGACATTGGTGAGGGCTGCAGGAATTGGAGATGGCTTTATAGAGAAGACAAGGCCTTGAGCTGGCCCTGCAACAGTCAAGACATGGAGAAGAGGAGGCATAAAGGTTCTGCAGCAAGAACAAGTTCGCTAGGTGTGGGGAACTGAGGAGAGGGGTCCACCAGGGCAGAGCTCACACGACATGCTGCAGATGCATGGAGACTAGATTCTGGGAAGCTAGGAAGATAGAGTTTACTCTTAATATGGCTGGCAATACGGAAAGCTATAGATGCTTAAATAAAGAGCAACAAGATGGCAATAGTATTTTAGGACAATTTAGTATAACACCTGTATGTAAAGTAACCCACTTGGAGAGTGATTGAGAAAAAGGACAGGAAGCCAAGAAGCCACTACTTCTGCTTTCAGCTTCTGCATTCCTCTCCATGCTCTTAATCCTGAGCACAGGGACATGGCAGGACCATCCCCAGCCATGCATTCTAAAACTGAGTTATGGTCATAAAAATACAGCATCTCTTCTAACTCACACTAGGCCAAATATTTAAGACAGTGAAACCATGAGGAAAAATGTGTGTGATAAAGATCTTGAGAAGTAATATTTAGGTATGATATGGGAAAGTGGCCAATCTGGTGGTTTTAATTATTTCAGTACCAAGCAAAGAGTCCAGAGTGCTGAGTGATTCTTCATAATTCTCCACATTGACCTTTTCCCTGTCCACTTCCCATCAAAACAGACACTTTACAGAATGAAGAGACCTTTGGGACAGCCAAGCCCCGTCACTTCAGAGCTGCCTACTGCTCATAGAGTGAACACAGAGGCACGTTTCTACCACGAGGATTTCATATTTCTTCCTCTCAGTAACTCTCGTCCTCCCTTCTTTCCTTGAAATAGGGAGGGACAAGTAGGGGAAGCCACAGAAGGCATACCTGATGTCTTTGGGTACCTGAGGTCACAGGCAGGACCCACACCACCAGTCAAGCAAAGCCTCAGGAGAAGTGAGGGGTGAAGTACAACTGGGGTTCTACCTTCCTGGGCTCTAACACACAGAAAAAGGTGGCTGCATGCTGTTTACTCATGTGGGACCACATGTCTTGTCATTTATACTAGAATGATCTCAGTCTAGTCACCAAGAGGCCCCACTTTCATTCCTCCTTTTTTTTTTTTTAATGATTTCTAGCTTATATATAATTGACGTGTATCTTGGTGGGATACAGTGTGATTTTCTAAGGCATGCATACAGTGCACAATAATCAAATTGAGGATATACTCATATTCATCTCCCACTTTCATTCTTGCTGTGTCCCTGGACACATGTGTCAACATCAAGCAAATTGTCCCCCCTTGTTTCTTATTGCAAAAACTGGGCCATGGGGATATGCAAGCCCTTTGGAGTGGTTCTTGGAGGACAGGCCTCTGTGTGTAGTGGAAGTGGGATGTGGGAGAGGGAGTTCTCTGAACAGGAGCTCTTCCTCTCTCCCAGACATGCCTTCAGG